TTTTGACAATCAATTAAGAATTTTAACCTTCGACTTTATACCTTACTCAATTTGGTCACTTCTAAACTGATGACATTGCCCTTATATGGTATCAACTAATGGCTTATAAGAGATGCAACACTTCACTTCAAGAACTAACTCTCTCAAAAAGGATTTTTCAACATTAAGCTCTTATAGCACTACAGCACATATCCACACAATGAAATATTTCAGCTATCGAAAACAACATTTTATCCTCTAATCTTAAATTAAAAACACAACTTATAAACATGCATCATTCACAAAACAATAGAGTTCAACTCAACACAACATCTCAACTTATCAACACAACCTATACAACATGTAGAATAACTTCTAGTTTAACTTAAACAACTTAATATACTTCATTTTAAGCTTTCTACAACATGATTCATCAATCATACAATATAATACATTATATCTTTATAATATATAAACTTATCACCCTAACATGTTAAGTAAAAGCCTTAAGCAAAAAAATCATGAAACAGGACTCTCATTGGGTAAAGTATTCTCGATGGGCGAGTTGAGCTCTTTAAAGCTTTTTATTGAGCAACACTACTCTTGCTAAGTGAAAAAAACACTTTATAACCTTTTTCTCTAGGTGGACTTTTAACTCATTGAGCGTCTAAATTCCTTTAGAGCTTGTCAATGGACGGTTGAGAGTTTGTTGAGCGATCCACACTATCTGTGGGTCTTCTCGCTAAGCGCAATATGTCTTGTCGGGAAAATTTAGCCACATAATCATCCTCTTGTTGGGTGACACATATATAATTGAGCAAAAGTATGATTTTGGGCAAGTGTTCATTAGTTCATAAATAAGCATTAGGAGAGAATGGGATTTTCACCCATAGAAAATTATCTTATCACTTCAGAGCCAATCATTATACTCTGCAATCTCAACATGAAACTTGTAAATCACCACCTATTCACTTTATATCAAACTAAATAACATCATTTCAATATCATAAATTACATTATCTTGGATATCCTCATCAACTTTATTATATCATTAACTAAATTATCATATTTAATATTATACAACTTATAATTATTATTCATTTTATAAAGCAACATTCAAGTTCTCATAATCAACTACCATACAATGACGACTTTCACATAAAATAACACATAAGGGAGTCATATCGATCCTATTGAGCTCATATTTATCTATTTGAAAGCTAAGAAAATTATCTACAATTATTATGTTGACCTCTAATTTTAATTAAAATATATACTATACTGAAAATAAAAAAAAACTAAAATAGTTTAGCTTAAAGTTGTCAGTTTAACCTTTGCTCATTAAAAAGGTCACAACTTAAGTTCTATACCTTCTTTTTGCGTAATTCCAAAACCATTGAAAAGATCACAAAGCCTAATTTGACCATCTACTATTCATTTTCTCACTAAGCGAGCTTAGCATTCCGTGGCTCCTCATTGAGCTACCAAAACTTACCCTTGAGAAAAAATATGAAGACTGAAATGGTGTTCTTCATCTGTGCATGAACATTAAGTAACTATATATACACTTCTAGCTGAACGAGAATGTGAAGTTCCTTCATGAAAATCACCTTCTCTCAATACATCTAACTAACTACATCAAATACAATGCATGCAACTCATGATTCTTGTTCTCCATACCTTATACAACTCAAAATATCCCAAAAACATCCCATGCAACCACTATAAAACTCAAAAATCATCAACTCATCTTTAACCTTCAAAAGCCCCAAAACCCAACAACATGAAATTCATCCATTCTCTACATAAATGCCACTAATGGGTCAAACAACACAAAAATAAACACATGTAACACAAAGGAATCAATCTACAAGTTTCTCTTACCTTAGTTGCTCCTAAATCAAGGAAAGGAAGGAAGAAAAAAAAGAAACCTCAAAACCCTCCGTATGAAGACTTCTCTATAAGATTCTTGGCTTTTTAGCCTAAATCTCAACTTCTACAACATAACTATCGATCAAGGGAAGAAAAGAGATCTTCCAGCGGAATTGGATCGGACTACATTGGCTCTAAAGAACCTCTCTAACTTCTTTTTAAGATTCTAGAGTTATGAACTTATGAAGTTTATTTTTCAGAATCTACCTTATATACTTTAGTCCTCATCAGACCAACTCTCACACACTTAAGTTATATCAAATACATTTTGTCTTCTATTTTTCTACCTCCTATCAGGAAAAGAGCAGTCTTCTCTCACGCTGTTCAAGATCGATAAGAATGGATCCCTTGTTGATTCCGGGTACGCAATTCGTTCTAAATTCTACTCGTACATACTATAATATTGTATCTTACGTTATTCATTGTCTGATGATCACTATAATGTATAACATAATCTACAATTAGCAACAAAATTATATTATTGATGGAGGAGTTACCTTTCTTAATTTCACTTCGGATGTGAAAAATCACGTCGTGATGCTACACCAGACATGCTCTAGGCTAAACGACCATTGTGGGTACTATTAGAAACTTATTACTAAAATGGGGCTGTTTTGAAACATTTTACACCTTTGGGGTTCTTTTATTGGGTGTCGCTATGGCCCATAGCGACACCCATGACACGTGGCATTTTTGGGTCTGAATATGAGCCATGAACGCTATATTGGTAGAGTCGCTGTAGCTGGTGGAGACCTTCTAAGAGTCGCTATAGCCTATAGCGGCTCAAATCGGCTAAAAACAAAAAAAAATTATTTGGGGCGCTATAGCCCATAGCTCCACTCAGGCGCTATGGGCCACAGTGCCTGTGTTAAAAATATATCTAATATTTTTAAAATATATCTTATATTTTTAAAATTTAAAATTTTTTTTACAAATTTATAAAAAAATAACGGGTAAAAAGGAAAAAAAAGATTGAAATAAGAAAAAAATGTTAATTTTAAAAAATAAGTAATAAAATGTAAAAAATAATTAAAAAACAAAAAAAAATTATTTGGGGCGCTATGACCCATAGCTCCACTCAGGCGCTATGGGCCACAGCGCCTGTATTAAAAAATTGATAAATATAAAAATTGATAAATTAATTTAAAAAAAAATTCGGATAAAAAAGCGAAAAAAAAGAACTGAAATAAGAAAAAATATAAATATAAAAAAAAGTAAAATAATGTGGAAAAAAATAATAAAAACAAAAAAAATATATAAAAATGGAGCGCCAGGGCTCGTAGCGCCTTACAGGCGTCGAGGCCCATAGCGCCTCCTTCAGATATATATATGAAAATTAATTATATTTAAATTGTTAATTGATTTAATTTATTGTAGTATATTGATATTAATTTAAATAATAAATACATTTAAATTTTAAATTGATAAAATGATTTGTGTGTAATTTTTATTTATTTTAAACATAATTATAATTAAATTATAAAATAATATAATTAATTTCTGTGTAATTTATATTTATTTAAGATTAAGTATATTTAACTTTTAAAATGATTTAATTGATTAAGAAATATAATAAAAACAATAATTTAAAAACGAAAAAAAAAATTTGGGGCGCTAATAATTTAAATTAATATATCAAAATATATCAAATATTTTTTAAATATAAAAATTATATAAAAATTTAAATAAAAATTACGAATAAAAGGAAAAAATTTATAATATAATTATTTAAAGGAAAAAATA